GACATCTGCCTAAGATGTAATACTGCACAGGTTTGAATCCCAGTAAGGGTATGGCTAGCTGATGAGAGCTAAATAGCTTGAAATAGATCTATACTAGTCTCCCTTTATTTATTTATCAGCACAAATACAACATATGTATGTATGTATGTATGTATGTATGTATGTATGTATGTATGTATGTATACACACACATACACAAACACACACACCTACATATATACATACATACATACATACATACACACATACACACATACACACGTTTAATGGTGAGAACTAGCCTCTGTTAACAATCCTGCTTTAAAGGGGTTATAATTTTCCCCCAACCTCTATTTTTTCCTTCCATTCCTATATACATCAGAGATGGAGGCCAGTGGTCCTTCAAGTATTTCTAGCATGCTAATGATTGAGGATGGTAGAATTTGTCCTTCAGTCATCTATTGGCTAGACAGGAAGATTCATTTTACTTATTTTGTATATTAATGCAAAATCTTTTTTTTTTTGGTCTATCAAATCCCAAATGGTAGGAAAATTCAGCTGTCCATCACAATATGCACTTCTTGGAATTTTATAATGCTGTCAACAATATTTTTGAAAGAATATAGGAACTGATCTATACAAAAATGCATGCATTAGATAAAATAATGTTCACATCACATGGAATTGTTTACAAAATATATTGATATAAAGTATTGGGCACATTAGGAGAAACAGGCATAGGTTTATGCACAATTGTTGAGTATTAATTTTTAAAAATCTCAAAGAAATTTGGAAGTGGAATGGACCAAATTGAAGATTAAAGATTTCTCTTAGGCAGAATAATAGAATAACAACAGAATAATAGAGCAACAAAATAACAGGAAGTTGGAAGAGACCGTGGAGGTCTTCTAGTCCAGGGGTCTCCAACCTTGGCAACTTTAAGACTTGTGGACTTCAACTCCCAGAACTCCTCAGCTGGCTGAAGAGTTCTGGGAGTTGAAGTCCACAAGTCTTAAAGTTGCCAAGGTTGGAGACTCCTGTTCTAGTCCAATACCCTCTCAAGCAGAAAACCTTATACCATTTGAGACAAATGGCTGTCTGGTCTCTTCTTTAAAACTTAATTTTAAACTTAAGATTAGTTGACAGTAGTTGTCCTCTGTTGGGAATTGAGGTATTTTCCATAGTCTGTTTGGTGTAGGTACTTTATACAGCATCTCCATCCTTCTGAACATTTTTCATCTTGTTTTCTCTGATGTACTGATCTCCGATGAAATGATAGCTGGCTACTTCCTTGATGCCACTATTAAATTTCAACAAATAAGGATCTCAGTTTTTCCTTGAGTTAGATAAGGAAGAGCAGTAGTGGTGAATATCATCAGTGTACTGATGTCACTCTGCTCCAAAATCTGATTTATTTCTTGCTGTAATTTCATATAGATGGTCACCCATGCAAGATAATTTAGCACCCTGTCAGACAAGAGATCTCAAATTCTGTGGAAATGTAGTTTCCTTATGTAATTTCCTCATTACCTAATCAAGGACAAATAAGCAACCTGGAATTAAGGAGAAACTTCCTAATGGTGAGGACAATTAACCAGTGGAACAGCTTGCCTTCAGAAGTTGTGGGTCATTCATCACTGGAGGTTTTTAAGAAAAGACTGGACAGCCACCTATCTGAAATGTTATAGGGTCTCCTACTTGAGCAGGGGGTTGGACTGGAAGCCTCCAAAGTCCCTTCCAGCTTTCTTCTGATTGATTGATTGATTGTGTTAAGTGGACAGTGGACATGGCCTTAAACGAAGGGCCCAAACTATGGCTAAATGAAGGCTTTATTTGCCAATGTCAGGGTCAATGAAAAAGATCTAACTGGGTTGTACCATTTCCTAGCCAGTCTCTAGATTGGATATAAATCAATGTGTAACTAAAATAGTTATATACTGTATCTTAACTGAAACCTGAACTGAAATGGAGTCAGATATTCAATATCATCCAGATATCTCTGAAATTGCAAGGGTCGCTATTTTACTGATCCCTTTTTTCCAGAAACAAAATGTAATCTGCCTACAAAATGGATATACCAGATAAAGGGATGGACTTTCCCCATCTGAAGTCCTGTACATGCTAGGCTGAAATGCATCTTACCTACAAAGAGACATTCTTCCCTTCCCTTAAGTGCTATTCCAGCTGATCCAATCATCTGTGAAGGGTGAACATCCAATAAGCAAGCAGTGGCCTCCATACTATCCCCTAGATTTACAAAGTGAAAAGAATTCAAAGCAACAGAACAAGCCCTTGTTGAGATTATAGAATCCAAATTTTTTTCTTCAAAAAGCTGTGCAGTTTGCTCAAAGCAAGCCATCAACTGCTCCAGTTCCTGTTTATGTGGATATGCCACATTCTTGCAATCCTACATTCCCTAGGTAACTCCCATTAAATGTCTTGAGCCTTCTTTCTGCATAAATACACTTAAGATCACACTGTTATTTTTTTTTGTCCAAGGAACATAACAATACATAACAGACTGTAATCGTCACGGACTTCTGTTGTTTGTTTGTTTGTTGTTGTTGTTGTTTTAAAAAAGGTCCTGCAAATCCTGCAGGCGCTATTAATGGTGGAAAGAATACTTGCAACAGAGTTTGAATTTGCCCTGGAGGCCAGGAAGAAAAAAACAAAACAGCTGAGTAAAGCTAACTGAGTGTCCAAAGCTCCACCCTATCCATGTAGCTGTACCTAATGTTTACTCACTCTGAATATTGCTCAAGGCAAAGCAAGGTACCTGTTGGGAGAGACTTTTAAACACTGCAGCACCTGTGGCTGAACAGCTCCAGAACAGATCAGCAGCACCGTAGAGGCAGGCTCGATACTGCAAACACAGGCAAGGTACAATTTGTTTGTATATATGTACATTATTTCGTGTTTAAAATATCTACCAACTTTTCAGTAGCATTTGTTAGCCTCCTTTGCCAGTTTAGCAAAAGATGTGTATTTTAATCTTACTTTTCAACTCATAACCAAACATTTAAAAAACTGCAGACTACATCTCAGTTGGCTTGTTTTTCTCTTTTCTTCTCCCTTCCTTTATTATTGCCTTGGGCAGTGGGGGAAAGAGTGTTTCTCAGAGTTTTTGGCAGCTTCCTACACTGCAGGGTCTTCCAGACTTTCCCCATACGCCTAGCATATCTGCTATTCCTTCGTAACCAAAGCTTACAACGTGGAGCCAATTCCCAGAGGCAATAGCTGGAGAAATGAGACTGCCTCGTCCACTGAGCTGGGAAAATCAGGGCTGCTCTAGCCAGCTTCCTGTTTGCAGTCCTCTCTGGGAAGGAGCAAATGAAATTCAGAACTGGGGAGAACTCGGTTTGCATCTCTGCTTCCCTAGAAGAAGAGCATTGTGGCAAACAAAGTAATGAGGCATTTTGTGAGAACAAAATGAACTGTTAGACTATGCTGTTTTGGAGCCCACCGGAAGTGGATGGATAATATTTAAAATTAATTTGTTGTACGACTTTTTTTTTAGAGTTTTGCTTACTTACTAGATAAAATGCACAACAGTGCAAAAAACCAGCCATTTTTTGAAAGCCAGTTTGGGGTAGCGGGTGAGGCATTGGGCTAGAAAGCAGGACACTGTGAGTTCTACTTCTGCCTTAAGGATGAAGCCAGGTGACCGTGGGCCAGTTCCTCCCTCTCTCTCTCAGGCCTAGGAAGAAAGCAAAGGGAAAAGTGTGAGAAAACCTTGCCAAGAAAAGTGCAGGGACTAATCCAGGCAATCAGCAAGTGTCAACAATGACTGGAAGGTGCGCACACACATACATACAAGCCAGTGGCGGGTTTTGGATCCTGTTGCAACTGGTACGGTGCAACAGGGCCGGGCATCCACCACCTGAATGCGCACAGTGCACACATGCATACTTACTGCCCGCAATGCTCCAGCTGCTTGGCGGAGCGTCGTGCAGGCNGGAGTAGGGCCTTCTCTGTTGCCGCTCCGGCCCTATGGAATGAGCTTCCCCCAGAGATCCGGGCCCTACCCACTCTCATGGCCTTCCGCAAAGCTATTAAAACCTGGCTTTTCCGGCAGGCCTGGGGCTGTTGACCTCTTGACCCCCAGTAGGCCCATTTCCCCCCCTCCCTGAGCCTCCGCGTGGACCCTTCACTTACCTGACATGATGTACGGGCCGTGTGGAGACTCCTGGGAGGGGAGGGGAGAGGTGGGCGAGGCCAGCCAGGAGTGGGATTTGGGGGTTTGCCAAACCATGCGGAAACTTCGCTAGAGGGTCACCCGAACCCGTGTGAGCCCCCTGTAGCCTACCCCTGGATTTATGAGAGTGAGAGCTGCTATGAAGACCTGGGGACCAGCGATAAATGAGGATGATCACCCTTCTGGCCTTGTTTTGAGAATGTCCTGAAAATGGCCTACTTGCTATGGTAGGACAGCATAATCTTGGCCTAGAAGAACTTGTGGCCTGAGGAAGCATCTCATGTTCTCGCCGTCTTGACTTGCTTTAAGTCTTTTGATGGGTTTGTGTGATGGCGATAAAACCAAATAAAGTATGTTTTATGATGCTCAGCAACCCAGACAAGCTAAAAGAATGGTGGTTTCCCAACAGAAGAACAGAGTTGGAAGGAACTTTGGAGGTCTTCCAGTGGAACCCTCTGTTTGAGCAGGAGAACCTACACCATTTCAGACAAATGGATGTCCAATCTCTTCTTAAAAACCTCCAGCAATGGAGCATCCACAGCTTCTGGAGGCAATTCCATTGATTAATTCTTCTCATTGTGAGGACATTGGATTCTTTCTTTGATAGGTTTCCATCCATTGCTCCTTGTCTTGTCCTGCCCTCAGGTGCTTTGGAGAATAGATAATGCCCTCATCTTTGGAGAAGCTCCTCAAATATTGGAAGACTGTGGTGGTGGTGGTGATGATGATGACGACTACAATGATGATGATGATGATGATGATGATGATGATGATGATGACAATGATGACGACAGCGATGATGACGATGATGGTGGTTGTCCATTCAGTTGTGTCCAATTCTTGGTGATTCTATGGGCCAGATTTTTCCACTTCACTCATAATCCTTCTCTTTGTGAGACCTCTTTATGTCAAGTTCCTACAACTGTTCTTCATAGGGTTTAACCTCCAAACATTCCCAGCCTCTATTTGCCAACTTGGTATGCGCCATCTTGGTTCACCGGAGTCATAAAAGCTACATCTGTCCTCTCCTTCAAAGCATTTCCCCCCCACTTACCATAAGCTGGGCATGTCCGTTCTGGAACGATCCTCCAGAATCCCCATTGGCTTCTTCTTGACGATCCATGACTCGGCATTTAACAGCATCTTGCACCTAGGGGGGGAAAAAAAGAGTTGTCACCTTAGGCAAGCATCCATTTCAAGTCTAGCGCTGCATAAAATATGGGGTAGGTTGCTAATGAGATTCGACTTTCGGGCAATTGAACAGCCATTAAAATTAGCCATGAACGGAACTGTTAGGAAACTGTTCATAATCGCTGCTGAAGATTAGTTCAGCCGCAGAACTGGCGGCTAAAATGGAAGCAAATTTTCTTCCTTGCTGAACTCATACGTTCTGTCTTTTTCTTGATCATCAACATCATGAACATCAATGCAACTGAATCATTTTTTTTTTCAGGCATATAAAATACTTTTATTTTTATTACTAATTTATAATATACTGAATTACACAAGGTGGGTCTGTTTATATGTATGCATCAGTGATGTTTATAGATATATATTCACTGTATATCTACTGTCTGTCTGTCTGTCTGTCTGTCTGTCTATCTATCTATCTATCTATCTATCTATCTATCTATCTATCTATCTATCTATCTATCTAATCTCTCTCTTTATCCCTCCATCTATCCATCTGTCTATCTAATCTCTGTCTGTCCATCTGTCCATCTCTCTCTCCCTCCCACTCTTTCTATTCATCCATTTGTCTGTCTATCTAATCTCTATCTGTCCATCTCTCTCTGTGTATATATCTATCCACCCACCCATCCATCCATCTCTCTCTCTCTCTATCCATCCCTCAATCCATCCACCCACCCATCCATCCATCTTTCTGTTTGTCTATATCCATCTATCCCTACATACATACATCTGTCTGTCTGTCTGTCTGTCTATTTAATCTCTATCTGTTTAATCTCTATCTGTCCATCTCTTTCTCCCCCCTCTATTTATCCATCTGTCTGTCTGTCTATCTATCTAATCTCTGTCCATCTCTCTCTCTCTCTTTATCCATCTATCCCACCATCCATCTGTCTGTCTGTCAGACTATCTAATCTCTATCTGTCCATCTCTCTCCACCCATCCATCCATTATCTGTCTGTCTGTCTGTCTGTCTGTCTACCAAAAGCTTCCATGTAGCATAAATATTTAGGACAGTGTTAATACATGCTGGTCACAAATCCAACCTAGTATATCTGGATGTGCTAAACTAGGGGACAAAGATAACCTAGAGTAGATCATTGAATCTGGTGGATCCAGTCTGGCACTAGTCATTTATGTTCCAGGAAATTTCAAATATACATGTGGACTTCAAAGTTGCCAACGTCGAGAAATACTGCTTCAAATGATCCATTCCTGTCCACATCATTTAATTTATGGTTGCCCACCTCCAAATGTTAAGTGCGCCCCTTGACCATCCATCATGGACCATCTCAACAGAACTGAAGGATGGAAGGGAACAAGACTCTTGTTAACTCCCAACGTTGTCATAGTGAGAGAAGGGAGGAGTGCATTCCACTCATAATGTCGGCTGAAGTCGGATCTCACATTACTGCAGCAGGCTTGGGAGGGGTGCATCTCATAGGGGAATGTGATTGATGACACAGACTGAGGGGAGGGAAGGAACAGGGGTAAAGGGCAGCTATAAATCAATCAAAGCTTAGACAACTGCGAAAATTTTTTTCCTGTGATGTTCCTAATAAATGACCAGTTTTGTATTGAAACTTGACTCGATACACATGAATCAATTAGGGCATTTTTAGGAATCCTTACAACTCTTATGTAGAAGACAACATTCTCTCCTCTCCAGCCACATCCCCCTATTCCCACAAGGGTAAGAACCCGTCCTTCTAAGGACCAAAAGCTGTTCTGCCATCATTCAAGCTCAAAGGCCCACCTCTCTTCTTAGAATGCAGTGGACCATCACGATGACGAAGCCCTCCAAGGAGTCAAACACTGCGAAGAGGATCTGGAAGAGGGCCGAACGGCGGTCAGTGATGGCCAGCACGGCTGACATCCAGGTGAGGGCCAGCAGAGGCAGGACAACACAGGAGCTCCAGAGGGACGCCCTAGTAGGGGGAAGAAAAAAGGAGAAAGAAAGGCCTCTTAGCTTCTGGACCAGGCAAACTCCTTATGCTGCTTTCACTCACTTGAGGGAGACCCACCAGACTCTCAAGGGGGAGTGATAACGTGAAATTCAGGCAGAATGGCTTCAAATGCTTCCAAGCTATAATCAAAGAGAATTACAAGATAGAAAGGAGAAGACAGCAACGAAGCGAGGTGACCTGGACTCTCTCCGTTAGGCCTACTCTCATGCACTCCACACCTACGCTTAGTGCCGCTTTTGTGTGTCTTAAAATGAAGAAAAACACAAAAGGAATGCTGGGATTGTTTCTGGCGGTTTAGGAGGAACGGATGGAGAGAGAGAAAGGGAGAGAGAGAGAGAGAAAGGCTGAAAGACAGATGGAATCCTATATTTATTCTTCTCCACAGGAAGCTGTGTGTTTGCTCAGGACTAGCTCCCTCTCGATGTGTGTGTATTTGTGTGTGAGTCAGAAATGTCAGTAAGAGAGGCACGGCTACACAAGTCAAACTGCACCCCCCTTTTTAAGGGCTTGCAAGTGGGACAAATGTTAAAAAAAAAGAGGTAGGACATCTGTTGTGGCCCAGCAGGAGCCGTTGGAGCTGCCACCAGACTCCGACAGNTGAAAATACGGTAATTAATAAATTATAACTGACCCAGAAAGTCCCCCGAGAACCTAACATAGAAATAATTCTATTAAACAAGAAAATATTATTCCAGTATCTCAATGCTTGATAATTTAAACATTAACTTGGACATGTACCTAATCAACTGGAATATTGGATTTAGATAGTTGAAAGTTGCATAGAAGATCATTTGTTTTAATAAAAATTAATTCACTATTAATCCATTAATTAACTGAATATATGATCATTCATGATGGGTTACCTTAACATTATAAGCACATGCATATTAAATATATGAATGTGAGAACCAATTACTTTTAAAAAGTGGAAGATGGAAATTATGAGTATGACTCTTATTTCATTAAGATGTGCTGTTTTAATAGATCTAATTTCAGAATGGGCACAATAGTGAACCTTAAAAATCACTTTTGATATTTTTTTTCTTAGAATATTGCTCATTCATGCAGGAACCTAGAATGTTATTGTATAAGTATTATTAAATAAATGAATGCTAGGAAGTGAAACTATCCCTTTCAAACACTCAAATTTGTGGCTAATGCTCAGCAACACTTTATGAAGATGTAATTAACCTTTATAAGATTTAGTGTTTTACATTTTAAAATATTGCCATGCAACCAAACCATTCCTCCTATCATTTAAGACTTGCAATAGACTCAGCCTCGCATAGATGTCTGTTAAAATGCTGGATATTATGCTTGCAATATTTCATGTAATATTTCATATTTATTATTAATCTATTAATTAATGTATCAATTAATATTTCATGTTCTGGATTCATTGGTTCAGCAAGAGATAATTGTTTGAACAGATAATGGCAAAGCTTGTTTTTACTGACACTGATTTTCCTAACTCACTCCGGTGTCCCAACATGGATATCTCTTTTAATAGGCTCCAAAACAGTGGGATTTCTTGCAGCTGCCTATAAGATGAAGTTTATGTTGAATAATCTCTAGACACTCCAGCAAATGATGCTAGCATCTACATTCTTTGTGTGTTGCAGATGGTGCTTGACTTTGAAAGAGGTGAGGGTAGAAAACCTGCATAGATTACAGTAAAAATATTCCAATATGTAGATCAGAGTTTTATAATGGGAACAGAAACACATTCCTTGCCGCTCAAACCCACTTACGCACTTTTAGGAATTCCCCTTTTAATGGTAACTGATTTCAAATCCCTTCAGAAAAAAAAAATCTGTAATGTCTATTTACAAAGCATTTTATTGTTCTAATATTCTAGACCCGTGGTCATATTTGCATTAATTCTTTTAAACTCGTGCAATAGCCTTCCAGTTATCCGTGACCCGTCAAAACCGCGCTCGACTAAGCCGCGCCCAATTAAACCGCGTCGCTGACATCATCAACAGGGCG